CCTGTCAAACTGTTTGTAAGATTTCCTCTGAAGAAAACCACAAAAAACATACAAAAATCCAGACATTCTACTGTCAAAAGCCATGCCTTTTTAAAGTCAGGCTTCCACATGCCACCAACTTTCAAAACAACAAGTTGAATCATCTCCCAACTTTTAATGAAAGCAAGATATCACCAATCAAAAAGACTCCCACTGCTTGACACAAAACATTTGTCCTTTATTTCTTTGAAAATGTATGGGATCAAAAATATATCTATGCTACAGGGCACCGGTTTTTAACCTTGAAGCCTTTGGGCTATCATATTCACAGAGCCAAACAAAGGTACAACTTTTCAATTTTAGGGTCATCATAGGACATGGGTTTTCAGATCACTAGTCATCATGTTGACAGGGCCAAAAACCAAGGCAACAAAAGCACATACCAAAGCACAGCCCAGAAGAGTGTCCTGCAAGTGACCCACAAGAGTGTCCCACAAGAGTGTCTCACAAGAGTGTCCCACAAGAGTGTCTCACAAGAGTGTCCCTTAAGAGTGTCCGACAAGAGTATCCCACAAGAGTGTCCGACAAGAGTGTCCCACAAGAGTGTCCCACAAGAGTGTCCTAGAAGAGTGTCCCACAAGAGTTTCCTACAAGATTGTCCCGCAAGAGTGTCCTGCAAGTGACCCACAAGAGTGTCCTACAAGAGTGTCCCACAAGAGTGTCCTACAAGAGTGTCCCACAAGAGTGTCCTACAAGAGTGTCGTGTAAGAGTGTCCCACAAGAGTGTCCTGCAAGTGACCCACAAGAGTGTTCTACAAGAGTGTCTCACAAGAGTGTCCCACAAGAGTGTCCCACAAGAGTGTCCCACAAGAGTGTCCTACAAGAGTGTCCCACAAGAGTTTCCTGCAAGAGTGACCCACAAGAGTGTCCCACAAGAGTGTCCTACAAGAGTGTCCCACAACAGTGTCCCACTAGAGTGTCTCACAAGAGTTGCCCTTAAGAGTGTCCTACAGGAGTATCCCACAAGAGTGTCCTACAAGAGTGTCCCACAAGAGTGTCCCACCAGAGTGTCCCACAAGAGTGTCCCACAAGAGTGTCCTACAAGAGTGTCCCACAAGAGTGTCCCACAAGAGTTTCCCACAAGAGTGTCCCACAGAGTGTCCCACAAGAGTGTCCTACAAGAGTGTCCCACAAGAGTTTCCGACAAGAGTGACCCACAAGAGTGTCCTACAAGAGTGTCCTACAAGAGTGTCCCACAAGAGTGTCCCACAAGGGTGTCCTATAAGAGTGTCCCGCAAGAGTGTCCCACAAGAGTGTCCCACAAGAGTTTCCTACAAGAGTGTCCTACAAGAGTGTCCCACAAGAGTGTCCTACAAGAGTGTCGTGTAAGGGTGTCCCACAAGAGCGTCCTGCAAGTGACCCGCAAGAGTGTTCTACAAGAGTGTCTCACAAGAGTGTCCCACAAGAGTGTCCTACAAGAGTGTCCCACAAGAGTGTCCCGCAGAGTGTCCCACAAGAGTGTCCGACAAGAGTGTCCCACAAGAGTTTCCTACAAGAGTGACCCACAAGAGTGTCCTACAAGAGTGTCCTACAAGAGTGTCCCACAAGAGTGTCCCACAAGAGTGTCCTATAAGAGTGTCCCGCAAGAGTGTCATTTGGACATATTAGTTTTTCGAACGTGTTTGCATTCGGGTTCGTGGGTTCCATCTTGTTCATTTGGTGTTTTGATTGTGTGACATGTGTTGTGGTGTCCTTGTTTAAAGGGAAGTGTTTGCGGGAGCATTTCAATAATAATCAATTCAAATCAACTCAACGGGTTCCCACTATAAACTAAGGCTATTGTGGTTTTATAGATTAGAATCACAGTACATAGTACATAAAAAGGTTGCTATTTTGGAGAGCAACCACCTAAGGTTGGCTGGGGTCTTTTTTGGCTGTCTCTTTGTCATGTGGGGGCAATGAGGTGGAGATGGCTGTGTCTCAAATGAGGAGTCAGATCAGATTAATGTGGTACGGAGGAACCAAAATGGTTTGTCCGGGATGAGTGTGTGTGTGTGCGTGTTCATCGCTATACTACATATACCGTTCCTATTGTTGGGGCATGTTGGGGTTAGTGTTTGTTGTCTTGAAGTGCATCTTTGGAAACGATGCCAGGTCTGCCAGGTCTCATTCTTACGAGAATATGATGAACTCTGGCCCGTTCAAGCTTCGGACCTATATTCATGACTAGTGAACAGGGTGGGTTTGCCACGACCTGCAGGTCACCACTAGATTCAGATCTGCATATCCCCAAAGCACCTACACCTTAGATTATGCCTGGGTTTTGACGGGTCGGGTTCATCCGCCTCATCTGCCATGGATCGGGTAGAAGTCATATCTTATCGCTTGAGGAAAGTGTTTGGACATCATCACCTTCCAGAAGGGCCTCGATCGCGGCCGGAGCTGTGCCACGTGCGATGACGCGTCTTGGGCGTGGTCATCGTCCTTCTGTTTTGGGAGCAACGAGTGGAGTGTTTGTTTTGGGGTGTGCTCAACCTGTTCTGGCTACATGTTCTGACCATTGCTGAAATGACAGTCTGGGTGATGAGATCTGTGACTCCGAGAAGTGTGGAGAAGAGTGTAATGACAGAATGCAACTCTAGACTCTAGACATCCACGTCCTTTGGTGTCAACCCCATCCATAGTGCCGCACATGCTCCTTCATTCATGATTCATCACGATTCTACATGCTTTTGGGGTTTAACTTGTTTTGCCTACAGCCTGAGAGCCTGAGAACCATAGTAGCAGTAGCAGTAGTAATTGGTAGTCGTCGTCATCGTCGTCGTCGTCGTCGTAGTAGTAGTAGTAGTTGTTGTTGTTGTCCTTGTCGTTGTGGTTGTTGTCGTCCATCGTGCGTGCTCCACCCGAGTTTTTGAGGTGTGAGTGTGGTAGCCCAACCACAACCACAGGAAGGGTAACTATCTTGAACTCATGTAGGTAGTGCACAACTTCAATGTTTAAACCATCGTAGATGATCGTAGATTCGTTCTTTGGGTCATGTCCGAAGGATTCCGAAGCCCCCCAAGCTGAGGTGGCCAAGATGGCTTGTCATGGCCAAGGCCATTGCCACACGGTCTCCTCCACGATGGCGGCCTTTCTGTTTCCCTTCGCCCAGGCGGGAAGGTTGGAGGTTCGGTGGTGGAGAGGAACTAGGCTTTGCATGGAATAGATGATGGATTAGTCTCAATGTATAGTAATAGTCATTTGTTGAATCAGTGGGCAGGTATTAGATGCAAGATGCTGGGGGTATAGTTGGAAAGATTTTGGACCAGCTGCAAAGACTAGGGCAGTGAACAATTCTTCCTGGTGCTTGATACTACTGAATGCTACACTCACGCTGTGATCTATGATGGCAGTGTGGAGGTTTTGCGAGTCCGACAAAATGGTGCCCGTAGTGGCAATTTGGGCTTCCGCCGAGTGCAAAGGCACATCAATGGTGTTGTCCTCAACGTGTCCCTTTGTCAGATGTTGCACTGTTGCACGTTTGCATAGGACGAACCAATAGTCCTTTCTGGTCATTGCTGAAAGGCAGATTCTCCACCATGCTCGAAATGGCCTGGCCTGCTGGGTTCTCACGGTGACATACAGTGAGGGCGAGCCATACCAGCATTATAATCATTATATAATAAAGGTCGTGGCTTTGCCCGCACCAAATACGCCGGCCAAAGCAAGGCATGATCGGCCAGAACGCAGGGCGAGGATTATAGCAGTGGCTGCTCCAAGTAGATCTCCCGAATCTGTGTTGGCTTCCTCCACGAGCCTGTGCACAAAGGCTGGGGCATCTGGCAGGTATTCCTGATCATTCCTTGAAGCAAGGCACGTTAGCTTGTGCAAGCGGGTTTTTGCTTCGTGTTGGATATTGGCTTGGAGCGGGAAAAAACCCTTCCGCGGAACGTGCCCGAAGAGGCGGCCAGTTGGCGATCTTCATTTTCTTTGCCAACGCACGGTTCGTCCAATCAGTCGAATTGGCCAAGCAAGTGATGACCAGCGACCATCACGCTGAGGGATTTGGCTGAACATCACCACGCTTGGCTGCTTTCGTGTCTCAATGAGGGGATCGCCAGACGGGACGCGAATCCAGGAATCCAGGATAAGACTCAAGTAAATGGGCGAGTTCGTGTGAGTTCCGGCGCTACTTTGGGATAGTAAGGTTATGAGTTATCATCAACTTGAGCAATTTGGAGAAACACATCACATATCAAAATAAACCTAGAACCTGATTAACCCCTGTTTTGGAGCCAAAATACGGTCTTTTGCTTCAAAACAGAAGTCAAATGGGTTCTAGGTATATATACGGTATATATACACATACACACACTTCCGTTTATTTTCACCAGATCACCAGATCACTCGCTTGTGGGATATGTCCAAGCGCGAGGTGCTGGGCTTGGACGTGAAGTACCGCGGGGGCTACTCCTGGGGCGGAGTGAACATGGGCGAACCCGCAGACGAGACGGTCGAGGTGGCCGACAGCCCTGAACCTTGGCAGTTGGAGACAGCGAACGGAGGAAGACGTTGAGAGTGAGGTGAAGTGAGTGAAGTGAGTGAAGTGAACATCTAAGTGGTGATCCTTTTTAGTGGTGATCCTTGTGCCTCTTAAAGCACCGCTTTGTTCCGCTTGGTTCCTTTTTTCCGTTTCGCATCTCACCGGTCTCACCAGGCTATCTACACAGATGTAGCTGATCTCCAATGTTGTTAGACCTCTAGAGGACGGAGGCACACCTACTTCTTGTCAGCCGCTGTTGGCCTTGTATCAACTACGCGGAACATGTCAGTATTCATGTCAAATACTCTCAACATGAGAGTGCCAGAGGGACTGCCATCCCCTACAAGCCAAGAGATGTAGAGACTAACACGAGATTTGCCTTTGCATCCAGCACACAGCTTCCTTTGTGGTGATGGTGTTAGATCAGCCATGATCAGCCAATGATTCAGCCATGCTAATGCAAGATGGGTTGCGGTCACTGGGAGAGATGGCTTGAAATGTGCTTCTGTTCTCGCATGGGTCTGTGGCGATTGCTTCGAGTACTGAATGTCGGACGCCGTGAAAACGAGTGAAACGAAGGAACGACATCAATGGCTGGAAGTGACGTTACGCCCTTCGCTGCAGAGCTACTTTGGCGGAAAAGAGAGATCGATCCGAATCGATTCCAATTGAGAGCGCCACTCGAGTGGCCGGATCCGCTTCTTCGAAACCTGGTCATATTGGTTCTTGCTTCCAGATGCTTCGAGATGCTTCAGACCAACCTGGTCAGGAACTAGCTTCGAGATGCCTTCGGATTTTACATCAATCTCTGGAAGACCGTGCTTCGGGACAACCCAGAGGGTAGTGAGGGCAGGAAATGTCAATGAACTTCAACCACAGCAATTCTGTTTCCTTTCACGGCACCTGCACGGACTCCTGCGGACTGCGGAAGGGTGGAGAAAGAGCAGCGAAGAATCGATGGAACACGGACGGTAGACGGAAAGTAAAGGAACGTCCGTGCAGTGAGCGCCAGATATATCGATAGGATAGTGACATCACCTTTTACCTCCCAGGTATACCCAGGCCCCAGGCATATTGGCCCCTGTAGGTTTGCGGGTGCGGTCCTGGCAACTCTTTGCGAACAATCGAAGTATGAACCGGAAGTTCTTGCTGACTCACTGGTGCCCATGAAAAATATAAAAAGATCACCTGCTTGTTGGGAGAAATCCCAGTCAAGCCGCCCTTTCCAGGCCCATTCATTAGGAAGAGATGCAGGGATAGATGAGAGGATGAGAGGTTTGGGTGAGAGAAAACCGCAGTGAGATGGGGCTTTTTCATGGATTTCTGCGGTGGTAGGCAGCCAAGAACCTCTCCAGTCTCCGGGTCATTTCCATTGGATTTCTCCAGTCTGACACAGGAGTTCCTGCGTGCTCTGACACACAGTCGCACCGTCGCTGGCTACCCCCACGTCGCTCCAGCTGCCTCCACCAAACCCCCCAACGCCGAGGCTATGTGTGTGATCTTTGGGTGGCCGATGCAGTGGGGAACGATGCCCTTAAATGGCCCATCAGTGAGGTGCGGAATCGGGGGAGTCACCGGTATCATGTCCTGAACAGGTGAGTTTGCTTCATGGAAAGGAGCTGAAAGACGTGATTGTACGAATTCAAATTAATTGCTTTTCCTTCGAGCTCCCTTTTGACACTGTTGACCATATTTGTTGATGGAACAGATCCAATCTAGCAATTTCTGGAACCTTCTGTCATACTGTAACACCTCATGTGGTTGTCCCAATTTTCTTCCTCAAATTGTCCACGCAATGACTTCGTGCGGCTCAGACCCAGTTTTGCGATTGGCAACTATTGATTCTTACTGGTTATGTTTGAGAATCCGAGTGCCAATGACCTACGCAAAGAAACGTGGTTGTTCCCGGGGTCTCAGACAGGGGTTTCCCATTCAGTGAACTAGAAGTGGAAACGAACAGAGCCTGATATCTAGTAATTAGTGGTCCCCAAATGGATCGCGATTCTTACTCCAAAGGATACTGTCAAACTGAGAACAACAGGTTTGCCAGTGCTTGACTTTCCCATCTACTGTATTTGGGTCTCATTGTAGAGGATCCCATATTGCAGTGACCGGCTTTTGAGGAGAATATACACGAAAGCGAAATTAGTGTGTGAAATCCCTTCATTTGTAGACAAATCCAAAAGGTTTATTGGTGCTTCTCACAGCTTTCCACAATCTTGTGGGGGTGCTGCACAGTATGTAGTCGACCAGGTGATGAAACGGAGTTGAGCAGATGTAAACTGATCCGCACCTTGGTCCATCAATATTCTCTGACACACTTCCTCTAAAAACAAACCTACATTGACCCTTGGTATTCCGACAGAAGATGACGCCCTTCTGCACGCAGGCCTATCAGAACCGGCTGTACCCCAACGGCAGCTTCAATATCGGACAGCAAAGCTGTCCCGAGGAAGCTACTGATCTTGACTTGCCAGAGCTGTAAACAGTTGTGATATGATGTGATCCGTTTGAGGATCCTCTTTGGTGAGAAGTCAGGCGGGTCGCTCGCTTGCGTGTGATGGTCGCACACGCTTGTTATGGTGACTACTGACCCTGTGCGAGCACCTGTAAAATATATGTTCCCTCTACACATGGTTGGACTAGGAGTCTTGAGAAAGGTCGAGAATCAAGCTGCTTGACACCGCACTAGCAATTAGGTGGCTTGGGAATGCGTGTTTTTCGTTTCAAGGGCATTTTGCATTGCCTTCCTGATTGGATACAATTGTTTTTTTGTTACCATCCCAAGCGTGTGGGGCATTTGGATGACCTAACACAGAATTCGAATTGATATCCTGAAAAAAAAACTATAAATAACAATGGTTGGACAAATATTCCTAGATTGATAAATATTTTATTTTGTATCGGGATTAATTGTAATTCATTCTATAGATATCTTTAGAATATTACTTTAATAATTAGATCATTAAAATAGGATATTATTAACAATATCTATATATTTTTTATGTAATTAATTACTAAATAATGATCATATATATTTATCCTAGGTCTAGAAATAAAGAAATAGACGGTTTAGAGATTTAGATGCATTGGGCTTTAGAGAGAGGTGATGGTGATGATGGAGGTGATGTTGATGATAATGATAATGGATATGATGATATTGATGGGAATGGGGATGGTGGACATGGGGGTTGGAATGGATATGATGAGGATGACATATGGAAATGGGAAAAATAATAATATATGGATATAATATATATGAATTAATATAAATTATAATATAGAGGATGGATGGAAAAAATATATATATATTATATTATATATATAATATATATTATTAATGAATTTGTATTTATGGGAATTATATTTGTATATATTATAGAATTGATATTTATAGAAATATATATATATATATATTTATTTAATTTATTGGACATAATTATATTAGGATGGAATTATATTTTTTTTCGATATTTTTGAGGATATTTCTTTTTTTATTCTTGATTATTTCTCTTTCGCTTTGGATTTTGGAGGTTTTAAACCTAAATTTGAGGATTATTATCTTTGTTGAATTTTCATTGGCAATGGTTGGTACGAGGATGTTTTTTTCTTCTTTACTAGGTAGGGGGAATGCATTTACAGACGGCCACATTTTGTCTTAATCTAGATGCAAAAGGTTTAAATATATTTGGCATCGTGTATGTCGACGAGCAATTCGTGAAGGATACACTAACTACAATGGACGCATATTATGGGCCAAAAAGGAACCCATGAGGTTCCGCATATTTTAACCTGATATCCAATAATTGAGGCCAAAATAGATCCTAATCTGCCGTCCTACTTCTGAACCCGTTCTGAAGATTTTTTCTTGGAATGCTGGAAATGGCCTGAATTATAATGAATGATTTCATTGGAATGATAGAAATGGCTATGACATTTTGTTGGTTCAAGAAATAGGCTGGATTCTTTTTGGTAACCAATGGATTACAATCATATGGATATAACAATCCATATTGCTAGCGCCAGAGCCTCCTAGCTGCTGATGATTAGACGAGATACAATCCCATCCATGCAGGTATCATTCGATACCATTCTTCCTGGATGTTTGATCCATCTGCGCTTGAATCTCAAAAGGGTTCATGATATTTTTTGTGTGTATCAACATGCTTGAAACCCCACCAGGCCACGTCTGAGTTGTTGATTGACAGACAATATTTGTGGCAACATCTAGCTGACGGAATTCGACGCATACCAAAGAATCACATCATGTTCGTTGCTGGAGATTTCAAAATTTCATTGACCTTGGCAGCACCGAATATCTATACTCCAGACACAAAGTTTGACAAGGCCCCGCACAGTGACAAGTTTGTCTTTCAGGAATTGATAGCTGAATTTATATTAATTGCAATGCACTGCAAATAGACGTTTAGATTCATTTTTTTTGTATGGGTCATACGCCTCCAAAATTGATTATATATTCATTCGGGGGCATCAGATCCGTTGGAAGCAATTGAATCCCCATGTGCATTATAAGTTTGAGCGCATTCATGATGTCATTGGTCCGGTCCATAGACCCCTGAATATCTCATTGCCCAGATGGTTTGCCACGCCTAATACTAATTCTTATCCGTATCCTATCGATCGCTTTCGGTTTCGACAGGAATTTCGTGGCCAAACGCCCTGCTGGCATGAGTTTGACACAACTGCACGGGGCCGCATTGCCGCTCACAGAACCAGGAATGAAGCCAATTATGACCCAATGATTGTTCAAAGTCGTGTACTCGAACTTGAGCTCAGACAATTATGCATTGATTTCTTTCCAAGGGGGAAACGAACACGCACACAACTGCATCCACTGGGTTCCATCACATCTCAGATGGGGACAGCACGCCGGGTAGTGAAACAATATATGCAGCCATCATTGCTGCATTCCTTTCGATATTGGCAATTGCAAACACGTTTTCATCAACTGCATCATAGAATGCGACTCTACAGCCGCCTGAATCGTCGACACAGACTTGAAACATTCATGAAGGAGAGTGCTGATCTCATGCTTCGTCATCAAATCTTGGATTGGTGCAGACTTCTGCATTGTGCCCCAAATAGACTTGGCAATGAATCCAGATGTATAATCAATATGGAGCCTCACAAATGCCTCAAGAAGAACTTCATCGCATTGTCACACACTATCAAGATCTGTGTGTTGATGAGACATACCAACCTCATCCCCCTCCGGGCCTTGTAACACTGCCGTTTATTGAGGTACAATTTGATGACCAGATCAATCGACTTCCGTTCACCATGCCAACTATCCTCTAGCGACACTTTGCCTCAGAATTGACGTCATTAGCATTTCAAAATTCAACAATATTGGTGTCACACCACAAGTAGACCTCCAGAATGCTGGTCCACAGATTGGATCCACCTGTTGTATAAACCACAGAAGCCCCCTAATAAGCCTGAAATTCCGAGACCTATATGCTTGCAACATCCAATGAATAAGGTTTTCATTGGATTGCACTGTCAGCTTTTGCATGAACATATTTTACCTCAACTTTGTCGCAGGCCCTTATACGCATATCCGCCAGCACGTGGCACCAAGGACTGTCTTCTGATCGTCTTAGATCATTGCAGAAGGGTGAGAGATTTGTGCGCTTTACCAGAGAAATCCTGACCCTGTTGGGATTTGGGGTGGCTTGCAAATGTCACTAGATTTTGAGGAAGCCTTCGATATTGTAGTCCGTGACCATGTCTTTAAAGCCCTGGAATTATTTGACCTATTCCCCGATCTTAGACATTTCATCAACTTACGGTTGCTTCCTCATGACTATTGCCTGTTTCACAAGGATCTCGTAGGCAGATTTCGGGTCCATCGTGGTTTCAAACAAGGTGCCCGTGATGCCCCCTTGTTGGGGATTGTGTGTATGGGTCATTTCCTGCATCAGCTCCTCGCTGCTCATCCCATCGAGTGGATTCGGCAATATGTTGTTATTTTGTTGATGACATTCATTTTCGTTGGATTATGGATTCCACGCACACGACACAAGAAGCTATCCATGACCTCGTCGACCTGGTTCGACGATTGCAGACTGCTGGATTTCGTATGAACACTCAATAGACGATGTGACAGCCTTGACCCCAGCCTATCCTACGTGCCACATTCCAATACCCACAATCGATGCGGACCCGTGTGCACACGCTGGAGACCTTCAATGTCCTGATTGCAGTAGGACCTTCACCCAGGCTGGACCCTGGAAGAGATACATGCGCTCATATCACCAGATACCATGTCAGATAGAAGATATCTTTGTTATATTTCGCGACACAACCAGTGGTTTCCGACTTGTGCTCACTGCACCAAGCATTTTGCTTACATGTATCGATTACATGACTATATCAATCGTCGAGTTTGTTTGCAATTCAACCCAGCCAAGGACAGAATCGTACCCATCAATGACCGTCCGGACCTGCGCATGCACTTGCGCCATCGTTCAGTGCCTCAGTCGCTCCGCCTTGTTTCAGACCTTCATCCAGGAGCTGATCACGCGTGGTGGGAAACTCAAGCTCGACCAAAAAAAAGACGAATTGGTGACCACTTTAATCACCAAGGGAGTGCCCACAAGAATGCCAGGCACTGAACGATAGCGCAAGTGCATGCGTAGGTCCGGACGGTCACTGATGGGCGCGATGCTGTCCTTGGTTGGGTTGAATTGCAAACAAATTCGATGATTGATATGGTCACGGAGTCGATACATGTTAACCAAGTCACGAAGTACAATAAAGATATCTCCTATCTGACATGGAATCTGGTGATATGAGCGTATGTGTCGCTTCCAAGGTTCCTGTTGCATTCAGGACATCGAAGGTCTCCAGCCTGTGCACACGGGTCTGCATCGACTGGGGGTGTTGGAATGTGGCACGCAAGATAGGCCGGGATCAAGGCTGTCACATCGTCAACGGTCGAGTGCATGGCTTCAAGTGTCAGCTGAGATTGAGTGTGGCTCCAGTTATATATCAATCTATCAAAGCGCTGCTGCAATGCGATCCATGGCCTGTGTACCTTCAGGTGTAATGCCCATTTCAAAACTGTGGCCAGAACACATTGTCGATAAAGACAAAAGTGCAATGCCAGTTGATGGTGCCTGTCTGTGAGCCACCTGGGGAGAATTTGAAAAGATGTTTGTGCTGCACGAATCCTGCATATGACAATATCATTTTCCTAAGCTCTATAATTGCCAATTGCCGATGTTGCCAAGGTACGAAATCTTACCTACAAGCCATACTATATGTGCATGTCTGGAAGCTGCAACATAGGTCCAGTGGTTGGACGACTGCTCCAATGTTGATAAAAGGAGTGCACCTATTTGCTAACGAGTCTCATGGGTGCCACACCCAACGGTCGAATGCATGGTTTCAAGTGTCAATTGAGATTGATTGTGGCTCCAATTATTTTGTCAATCTACCAAGTGTTGCTGCAGTGTGATCCACGGCGGATCAATATTAAGTCGGTGAAAGAAAACAATGTGTTTTCATGCGTGAGATGGACCGGGGATCTGGCCATAAGTCGAAAATATTGGCTAATTATACCGATCATGAATTGTGCACCTTCAGGTGTAATCCCCATAGAATTGTGGCCAGAACACATTGTCGATAAAGACAAAAGCGCAATGACAGTGGAAGGTGCTTGTCTGTGAGCCACTTGCGGAGAGTTCGAAAACATGTTTGCGCTGCACGAATACTTCGTGTGGCAGCATCGTTTTCCCAGGCTATATAATTCACAATGATGCCAAGGTACGAAATCTTACCTATAAGCGATACT